CATCTTCATGGTGGCCAGGCCTTCATGTGGGTCTGCCTGCCTCATAGGGCTCTTGTTTGCGAGTGGTCAGAGTTGAGTTGGTCACCATTGTTAACATCTACAGTTTACGCAGCTCCAGCATTGGGAGTCTCACTACTGATAGTCCAAGGGACTGTTTTCATCAGGCATCACGTGAATACAGACACTGTTTGGAAGCATGCCTTCATTTGAAGGCCCCATTCCTCCACCCAAGACCCACAATCCCATTGCCCCATCCATCTGCCCAACGAACACCTTTCCATTGTGGTCCTTCCACTTCCACCCCATTGCCCATCCCTCCCACCACAAACATCTCCATCCCATTGCCCATCCATCTCACTACAGCTACCTCCACCCTTTCGCCCATCCTTCCCATCCAACCAGAACCAGAACCTGGTGCTTCCTACAGGGGCTGACCCCCCACAGTGTCTCTCACACGAAGATGACCGCGTGTCCTCTTGCAGGACCTCTACCTGGCTTTTACAGGGCACAAAAGGCGACCACCAGGGACACGAGGTGACAGATGCCTCCGCTCACTACTACAGCACATTCATGCATCTTTAACCACTGCCCAAACTTTGTCGGATGTACATTTGTGATGGGTGAGGAAGGAGCGCAGGCCCCTCGCCAGGGCCCCCACACCTCCCTTCCAGCGCGGCACAGCCCCATCAATATTTCATGCCCAACTGCATGGTTTTTGGCAGCCTTTTGCTTGTTTTTTGTTGTGGCTCACGTCACACTCTGTCCAGTGCTCCTTCAGCCCGTGCTAATGCCCCATCCCTGGAGATCCTCAAGAGCCCCATGACTGCTCCTGAAATATTGATGGGGCAGCAGTGAGGCAGGGGCCACTGGACAGGGAGGTAGCTCGGCATGACTGGCAGCCACATGGGCAGCGTGGTGCCACCAGAAGTTGGGCAGAAAGGGCAGGGTGGAAGGAGTTCAGGTGTGTGCAGGTCCTCACCTTGCTGGGACATTGGATGTTATAATGTCCTTCCCTTCCATCTTGGGTGACGCAGAGCCTGCTCCACTTCAGGACACAGTGTTGAGGTCTTCCTCATGTGGAAGAACTGCTTTGGTGAGAGGGTTCTGTGATACTGTGACTAGTACCATCTAATTGTAATTAAAAGTGACCTCCAGAATCCTCCAAAAGGAGGGCAAAAGGAAGGAAAGAGAGGGCTTTTAGTATTGTTTATTCCTGCTATTTCCCCCCAGCAATGCTACTCATGGGTGGTTCACCGGTGGAGGCACCAAACACCTTGGCATCCAAGGTTCCTCAGGGATGGAGACCCTCACGGAGGTCATCTAAGGCCTCTTCTCCCCTTGCAACAACACCAGCACCAAAATTCCCTGCAAGGAGCACACAGAGGAGCAGGGAAGTAACAAAAACATCCCCGTCCCGCTTGCAGAACACCTGGAGGGGATGAATGTTGACCCTGCTGGGGCAACACATCCCTCCCCCAGGCCACCTGGGCAAGCACAGCTCTTCCTTAAAACTTAATCAGCCGCCAATGAATATTTCAGGAGGACAAACAGGCCAGGTAGATAGGGGCGATCTTTTATTGATGAGCACCAGGGAAGGGAAGGAGGGAGGGCTCCCGTCGGAGCTGGTCCAGCCGGGTCTCGGATGTCTCCTGATGAACGATGTTTGGACGGATTATGCTCGTCCTGCATGATGCTCATTCTGGTGCTGGGGCCAGTCCCCTGGACAGTTCACTGCATCCATGGCCTCCCAGAGCATCAGAAAGGGAAAATGCATCCCAGCCATGCGAGGAGACAGGAATGCTGCAGCTTCCTTTTTTTTTTTTTTTTTTTTTTTTTTTTTTTAAGAAAATCAGACTTTTAAACCCAAAGTTTGCAAGCAAAGCCAGGCCAGCACCACCCTGACTCTCCCTGCTTTGCAAACGGTGCCTAAATCCCGTTTCCAAAGCTGCGTTGGATCCCAGAACTCTGCACACCCGCATCCCCGCTCACATGCGATGGCCACGAGCGCCCCTGCAATAACGCGTTTAATTAAACGCAGTCCGGTCACAGAGCCCATCCTGACACGTAGCCGGCATCGGAGGCACCGCTAACGAGAGAGAGAAACGTTAATTACCCAGCTTATTAGTTGGCCGCGTTATTAACATAACCCTGGCGGAATTAACCGGGTACAAACTCTCCTGCAAATATTAATTGCCTAAGAAAACTTCCTTGTTGCGCGGTGGTATTAATAAGACCGTAATTATGTATAGATTGTATAGAGGCGAGTTAATGACGTGGCAATTTGATTTGTCTCAGTGAAAGGCGATAAACCCAAGGAAGTGTTCGCCGAACAATCAATTGATATTTAATTAACGGGCAGAACCTGCCGGCGCAAAGACAGATTAAACGCCCGTGATAGCTTACATGAAGCCTTGTGATAAAATAAATAAGGGGTGTCCTGGGGTGAGATTGTGGGAAGCAAGAGAGGGGTCTCCGGTGGGAAGGTGTCCAGCTGCTACGGTGATGGACTTTGCACTGCCAGCATCCCAGGGGGGATGCAGGAATGGATGGACCAACTCTCCCTGCATCCCAGTCTATGCAGTGTGTAACTGGCCAAGGCAACAAGCGCTTGTCTGCCTGGGATATAAACTGGAAACTGGGATTAGTTTTATTTTTCGCCTGTGCAAACAGCATCTCACATTTCCCAGGAATAAACACACAGGGCCGGGTCCATACAATGAAGCACAAGCAGCCTGGGCACTGATGCTCTCATTGCATATCTCGCACCCTAAGGGATGATGCTCCCGCACTAGCGCCCAGCACCAACCCCTCACCACCCAACACTCCCCTGTAGCAAAGGGGGTTTCCAGCCAACAGGAAGCCCAAAGGGATTCATCAACCTTTTCCTTCGGCAAAAAAATCAAGAAACAAGGAAGAAAATAACAGTGTTGAAGTCACACACCCAAAGCCTCCGTTGAAGCCCGACAGCTTTCCCAGTGTGATGCCAACCCGGTGGCCACCAAGGGCTGGAGTCGGGTGCTTGCCAAAGAATAGCAGTCCATGAGCTGTTACAAGCCAATTATGTATATTTTTCCCCCTCTCTAAAATTAGATATATGAATACATATACATATATATATATAAAAACTTATAAGCAGGGCAGAGTTTGGCTGCTTCAGCATGCCAATACCCATCAGGGTGAGGAGCCTGGGGTAAACTGCTGCAACACTTTATTTTGCAGGGCACTGATTTTTTGGGAGGGGATCATTCCATCTTTTCCTATTTGGGTGCCAAGCATCTCCCTCGACTCTTCCCAGCAAACTCCTAAAGTGCAGGCTCGCGTTCCCAAGCTGTCCAGGCTGGCACAAAATGTACCATGGTGGTGACAATGAAATAGTGATAATTGCAATAACACTAGTGGTTACAATAACGCTACTCATTGCAATAACACTACTCATGGTGGAGAGTGGGCATGGGGTGCTCTGGAATCTGTTGGCCTCTTGCAATTTGCTGCCTATTTTACAGAAATCCCAGCAATCTGCAAGGATCTGGTCCATCACCTCCATCCCTGGCTGTTGGGAGCATGCGTCCCACCAAAAAAAATAAAATAAAAATAAAATCACCAGAATAGTGCAAAACTTCCCAAAATGGCTCAAGTCATGCAAAACTCATTCACTGGGCTGCTAAGGGTGCCGGGAGTCGGGTGGAGCTGATGGTTCTGAAGGGATTTAATGGTGCCAAAACTCTTGGTCAGGCTGGGGGTTAAGATCTAACCCTAGGGGCTGGAAACACACAGTGAAAACCTGCAAAAAAAGGGGCTGAGGGCAGCCAAAAACCCATATGCAGCCCAGTAACACATACGCAGCTGGACCTGAGACACACAGCAGGATTAATGTACTGCCCTGCAACACGCTGCAAGCACAGGCAGAGCTCTGCAAAACACTACAAACACACTACAGTCATACAGACATTCATGCAACACACCGCACATGTATGTGCAGTTGTGCAACATGCTGAAAATGCACACATGGTTGTGCAACACACTGCATAAATGCTCACAGCCTTGCAGAATGCACCGACACCGCACATGCAGAGCTGTGCAACACACACCAGCACGCACAGCCTTGCAAAAGGCACCAACAGGCTGTAGATGCACGCACACTCGTGCAACACGCAGTGCACATACTCACAGCCCTGCAATAGGCATCGACACGCTGCAGACACACGCGCAGTTGTGTTACACACAGCTCTGAGATACGCACCGTGCCGCAAATACGGTTGTGCAACACACTGCACGCATAGCCCTGCAACATGCAGTGAGATGCTGCAGTCCTGTGCGGCTGCAAAGGGCAACAGGGAGTGCACAAGGGCGGCCCAGAACCACCAAAACCCCACTGCAGCAAGAGGATGAGTGGCAAACATAGCCCCTTCCATGGGAAGCTGCGTGGCTTTAACTTTCATTACGCCAAGAGCAGACACGGGGCTCTACCCAAAGCTGTCAGAATGGGGGGATGGTCTCTGGCAAAAACAAATCTGTCTCCCATGAGGGACCCCAGTGTTGAGCGGGTAGCCCCACAGAGGAGAAGATCAGGGCACCCCCCAGCTTCCTCTACACCAGGCTAGGAACATCGTCCCATATGGGATTTGCACCCGTTTTACGGGAGAACATAAACCACAGCGAATGGGATGGGAAAACAAAAATCACAGCGGCTGCAGGGGGGTGAGGCCAACAGGTCCAGGAAAGGCGGATCTTATCCCAGAAAGGATCCATGCAAGCCCAAACCCCCATCCAGCACCCCAGAGCCGGGGCCAAGTCAGCGAGGTGCTCTGATTGCAGCAGCCTGTGAAACCCCCAGCCACCTTATTTAAGACCCAAAAACTCGGAGTAGGGATAGATAAAAATAATAAAAATGGAAAATAAAATATAAAATTAATAAAATTAAAAATAAAGAAAAGCACAGAAGGAAGAGTTGCTGCGGGCAGAGTGGCTGGACACAATTCACCCCAGACCGGTGGGACTCCAAAAAAAAAAACTGGTCAAGAGAGCATAGCAGGCAAAAAACAGCAGAGGAAGAGCAATGGGGATAAAAAAACAGAATTAATAGGGTTGGGGGACAACGGCCCTGAGTCCCCAAGGTCTCCTGCATGGCCGCAACAAGGGACCCACTGAGCACAAAGGTCCTGCTGCGCCCATCCAAAAAGAAATCAGAACGATGCACTGGCAATTTGGAAGGGCCAAACTGGGATTCAGATGCACCACAGCCTTCCAGTCCCGATGCACTGAACGGCCAGGACAACTGCCTGGACATGGGGAGATCCTCTGGGAGACTAGCACCAAGCCCTGTGCAAAAACCTAGGGACAGAAATATATAAAATATATCCATCCATATATATACACATCTATATCTATCTATATATATGATTTGGATACCCCTCGGAGCACTGGCTCCATCTACCCCACACACATCGAGGGCTCTGCTCGCAGCGAGGCAGGGGGATGAGCAGCCCCACGAGTAATGCAAGAAAAACCCGAAATGCTGTCAAAAATACTGCCGCCAAAGCCTGCTGTTAGGGGAGGGGTGCTTTCATTTCTTTTTCCCTTTCCCTCTTAATGATAAAGTACTAAAATAAATTTAAAAGAAAAAAAAAAAGAAAATAAAAAGAAAATAAACTATTTCTTAGACATTAAAATAAAGCTCGGGGCTCACCGGGGCCGCAGCAGGATGGGATCAAAGTGGGTCCCGGGTCCAGCGGGGTTGCGGACGAAGTTGATTTTTCTCGGCACTCGCTGGCGGGCTGGGAAAAGAGGTGAAAAAAGTGGGAAAAAAAAAAAAAAAGAAAGAATAAAAGGCAGACTGGGGGCTCGGATTCCCCGTTAAAGGTGACACCAAGGGTTAATGAGGGTTTTTTTCTCCCCCATTACGAGACCAAAAAATGCGAGTTTCATCCCGCTGCCCCGACCCGGATCCCGCCGCGTCCCCTCTCCCCGCAGCAGGAAAAGTCAAAAGGAAACAGAAGTTAAATAAAAAATAATAAAGTGCGAACGAAAGGCGAAGCCGCGCCCCTCAACCCCCCGATCAAGAGAAAACCCGACCCAGGCTCTAGTTGAATATAAGTTTTTATCTTGATGCAACATCGTTAAAACCGTCACAAATCGAAACAACAGGTCGTTTAAAAACCGCTTCGCACGATCAGTACCTAAAATGCACCAGGCTCCCGAGTTCGCTTAGTTGGCAGAAACTCTTGTTTTTTCCCCACCCAAGATAATATTTTTTCTTTTTTTTTTTTTTTTTTTTTTAAATAATCAACTTGTTTCTTTAAAAAAAAATCACGCTTGTCTGCACAGGATCGGCCCCACTTTCTCTTTTGCACGAATTCGCTTTTTCTTTTTCTTTTTTTTTTTCCGCGCAGGAAATAATGTGCATTTTCCTTTCCTCTCCTTCCTTAACCATCGAGGTTAAAATAAGATTTCGTTTCCCGAGGCTTAATAAATAAATCTGGTGCATAGTGAGATAGCAGCCAACCGTTTGCAGTCCATATATTACTATATTGCCTTTCAGGTCACCCTAAAATTGTTACCTCTCCTTCCCCTCCCACCCTTCCCACCCCCCCAACTATTTTTAAGAGCATAGATAATTTTAAATCTCTATAAAACAGTATTATTTAACCCAATTGACTCCTGTATATAGTGCATTCGGCTTCGTCCCAACATCGTTAAATTAACTCGGATATTATTTGCATGCTATTACATACAAACTTTTTTTTAAGACTCGCGCTTTTTTTTTTTTTAAGGATTTTTCTTTTTTTTTTTTTTTTTCTCCCGTAAATCAAGCAAAATAGAGGCTCAGGGGAAAAAAAACGGGGGGGGGGGAGGCAGAAAAAAACCCTAATACGATGCTACATTATGTACAAGGGGGGGAATAAGTTAACGCGTGGCTCAGCTTGGCCGCCCCGGGGTGCGGAGGCTGCGGGGCGGACGGGGCGCAGCGCTGCCCGGTGCGACCCCCCCCCTCGTCGTCCCGGGCGCCACGAGCCCCGGAGAAGTGGGGGGGATACAATAGAATTAAGGGAGATAAAATGATAAGGGGTAAGAGAGGGAGAGGAGGACGGGGGCGAGAGGAGGAGGAAGGCCGGCGGAGCTGCTGCCCGCCGGGAAACACACACGCGGGTAGGGGTGGGAAAAATATAGGGAAAAAAATGAAAATTAAATGGAAAAGGAGAAAAAATTAGGGGAAAAAAAAAAAAAGGAAGAGGAGGAAAGGGATGTGAAGCCAAGCCCCGGCCCCCGCGGTGCCCTACACGTCCCGCATGCAGGCTGGCCCCGGCGGCTCCCCCGCTCCAGTCCGAGCCCCGCGGGGGGAGCCGCCTCTTCCAGCGGCCAACTGGGGAGGGGAGGGAAAACATATAATCATCATTATTATTAATAATAATAATATAACAACGACAATACTGGGTGCTCGTCCCGCTGCGGCGGGGCGGGCTCAGAGGAAGAAGTCGGCGGGCGCCTTGGGGGCGGCGGGCGGCGAGGGCGGCCGCGGGAAGGCGCGGGCCGCCGCCAGCTTCTCGTACTTCTCCTTGTACACATCCCGCTCCTTGGCCAGGCGGGCCACCTCCTGCTTGAGCTGCTCCACCTGGCCCTGGAGCTGGCACTTCTCGTTCTCCAGGATGTGCCGCTGCTGGACGCGCTTGTAGCGGCAGGACTGCGCGTAGCCGCGGTTCTTCAAGGTCCTCCTCTTCTGCTTGAGGCGGATCACCTCCTCCTTGCTGAAGCCGCGCAGCTGCCGGTTGAGCTCCCGCACGGACATGCTCACGAGCTGGTCGTCGGAGAAGCGCTCCTCGAGGCGCACGTGGTGGTGGTGGTGATGGTGGTGGTGGTGGGCGGCGGCGGGCAGCTCGTCGCCGCCGAACGGCTGAGGCCGGAACGACTCGTAGCCCTGGTGGTGGTGATGGTGGTGGTGGTGCGGGGCGCCGATGAGCGCCTCCACGGCGTCCTCGGGCGTCAGGTTGAGCGCCTCGGGGTTCAGGTGGTGCTGGTAGCCCGACATCCAGTAGAGCTCGTCGAGCTGCGGCTTGGAGGGCAGCGGCGCCGCGCCGGGGCCGCCCGCGGGCTGCGCGCCGGGGCTGGCGGCGCAGAAACTGGGCGACGAAGGCACCGAGGAGCACGGGGTGCTGAGCGGCGTGGAGGAGAGCGAGCCGGCGGGCAGGCGGTGGCAGAGCCGCTCCGCCTCGGCCGGCTCCTTCTTCACCTCGAACTTCATGAGGTCGAAGTCGTTGACGTACTCGATGGCGAGCGGGCTGCTGGGCAGCTCGGCGCTCATGGCCAGCTCCGAGGCCATCGCAAGTCCATGGAGGGGCCGCTCCACCGCCGGGGCTCGCTCGGGAAGCGGCAGCCGCCGGGATTGGGGCGAGGGATCGCGCTGGAGGCGCCGACGGCAGCGGCCTCCGCGCTGCAACCGGACCGGGCTCCGGGCTTCACTCTCCACTTCCCAGTGCAAGCGGGACCGGGCTCCGGGCTTGGCTCCGCGCTGCAACCGGAACGGGGCTTCAGCCGGGCTCGAGGAGTTCTGCTCCCCGGTGCAAGCGGGACAGGGCTCCGAGGGCTCCGCGCTGCAACTGGGACCGGGCTCCGGGGCTCAGCCGGGCTTCGGAGTTCCACTCCCCAGTGCAACCGAGAGCGAGCTCCGGTGCTTCTCGGTGCAACCGGGCCGGGCTCCGGGGCTCAGCCGGGCTCGGCTCCCCGGTGCGATCGGCACCGGGCACCGGGCACGCCGCTTGCCGCGAAGTCGCTCGGGGTCCGTGCTCCGCTCGGGACTTTGCTCCGGCCACCAGCCGCGCTCGGCGACTCTCCAGCGGGACTGCGATGCGGGGCCGGGCTCTCTCCTCCTCCTCCTCCCCTGGCACCTGCCCCAGCCCCTCCTCCTTCCCCGGCCCTGCCCTCCGCCTCCTGCTCTATCCCGGGCCGGGACCCGGTGCCTCCCGCACCCCGGTCACCGCCACCACCGCTCGGTGCCACTCCGCGCGCCGCCGCCCGCGCCGCCCTTTTATAGCAGGGCCGCACCGCCCGGCCACGCCCCCTCCCCGCGCGGCCGCCTATGGGCGCCGCGGGCGCCCGCTGGTATTTGCATATCCCCATGGCAACGCCCCGGGGCAGCTGTCAGTCAAATCTGGGGGCGGGGGGGGAAGAGGGCGCATCCACGGGGGGGCGGGGGGGCAGCCCGGACGCCTGGGCCCTTCCCAAGTTACGGAGTTCCCCCACACCGTGCCCCATAACATATTTTATTATATATATTATATATATATGGATATTTATTTATTAAGTGCCACTTCAAGCAGTCGGCGCTGGGATGGGCCGGTCGAGACGGGAGGCAACGGTGATGGGCGCCGCCCCCCTTCCCATCTTGCCCCGTCGGGGAAACTGGGAGAACAGGGAGAGGGATGAGGGGTGGGAAGGGGGCGACGTGGTCCGAGGTGTCTTTGTGAGGCGCTTCCTCCTCCTCCTCCTCCGAGCCTCTCACTGCGGACTCGGGGCGGGGTTATTTTTAGCGGGGGGGGGGAACTGGGGTGTCCCGGACGCCTGGGCCCCTCTGGGTGTCCTGGGGTGGGGGCTGGGGCGCCCCGGACACCTGGGCCCCTCTGGGGGGGGGGGGGGGGCCCGGACGCCTGGGCCCTGTCTCAGATCCCCCCTCCCAAGCTTCCCGACCCAGCGGGGGGATGCCATCCCGGCACCTGCTTCCCAGCGGGAGAGCGGAGCGGGAGGGGTGGGAGGCGGGGCGGGAGCCAAGGCCAGGACCCAGGAGGGGTTTCCAGGAAAAGCAGCCGGTGCCTCTGGACACTTTGACCCTCCACCCCTTACCCCGACCTCCCTAAAAAAAGAGAGAAAAATCATAATAGCCCCCCCCCGAAAATAACTTTAAAAGTGCATTTTATCCCCATGTTTCCTTTTTCTCTCTACACTGATTCCCCCTCCGTCCATCCCATCAGAGCCCCACTGGAAAGGGGGATATTTGGGCTTTTGTTGGCGGCTCCAGGAAGGAGCAAACCTGGGGAACCCTTCCCAATGTCCCATTTCAAGGCATAAAAAACCTTGGGGGCTCCTTTGGGACCGGCCAGGACAGACGGACGATGCCTGTCCCCATGTCCCCCCACCAAGGAAGAGCAGCACCAGGCGCTTTCCACGCAGGGACTTTTATTTAAATATCAAAACGCACCAAAATCCCGGCGACCCGACGGCAACCGAGGCGTCTTGGCGGCGGCCCCACCAAGGGGGCACCCATGGGTGCTGCAGGGGTGGCCAACACGGTCCCCCCGCAAGCTCATCCCTCTGTGGTGCAAAATCCCTCCGGGGCCCTTCGGCATCTCGGGATCCTCGGATGCTTTTGGCAGGCAAAAGAAATAGAAAAAAAGAAAAAAAAAAAGAAGGAAAAAAAAAAAACAGGGTCTCGGTGTGGGGGGACCCACTTGTAGGTTGGGGATGCGACGAGTGGTCCAGGAAGAATGATGATGTGGAGTGATTTTGGATTCCTGAATCATGGAGCGGATTCGGAGCGGCGCCGTTCGGGTCCCCGAAGCGAACAAGAGGCACGGGGACACCAAGGGGTGACGGGGCAGCGAGGGGGGGCCGTGGATGTTGTGGTGCTGCCGGAGGCCGGCTCGGCACCTGGCTCCGCTCCAGCATCCCGCGCGAAATCGCCCCCTAAAAATAAGGAAACACAAGACCTGACGCCTCTGAGCCGGGACACAGAGATGGATCCGGGTGGGCTCCGGGCACAGTGTGTCCCACAGGTGCCCGTCACCCGAGGGGGACCCCCAAACATCTCCCTGGCACCGAAACCATCCACTTAAAAGGGAGTTTATTTGAAAATTAAACAACTCCGACCAAACTGGCTTGCCTAGGGCTGGCAAAACGGGCGCCGCTTCTCCCTGTGCATGGGGGAGCCGTGGGAGATGGGAGACGGCAGTGGGCGCAGGGTGTTGAGGTAGGTGCCGGGCGCCCCGGTGGCCTTTTCCTGAGCTCTTGGGCGCGGGACCGGGATCAAGGTGGGCGCCGGAGTCGCTCAGAGCCGGGGCTTGATCTGCAGCCGCTTGCCTGGAAGGAGAGGAGAGAGGGGTGAGGGCGGCGGAGAGGCCGTCGCGACGAGGACGTCCCCGGAGAAGCCGCTACCGCAGGACACCTGGGCCCCCCAATGTCATCATCCTTTGGGAGATGGGAGCAGCTGGGGAACCCACGCGCCGCTGGCCTCACCTCCGGAGCCTCCATCCTCCAGCGCCGCCGCTTCCGAGCCGCTTGAGGATGCAAAGGTCCTTTTGCGCTTGACGCTTCCTGGGAGCAAGTGGGAAAAAAAAAAAGGGGAAAAGTAAGAAATAGTCATGCTCAACTCCATCCTCAACTTCCCCAGACTTCCCCAGTGTCCTACGGGATACACCGGGACTGTGGTCCCACTTCCAGCTGTGGCTCTGGAGGGGAGAAGCCGGCACGGAGAAGCAGCACTTCCCCGGAGGGCTCCTGGCAGATCCGTGATCCATCCCAGATAAATCCTGGCATCGGCTCTGGGGACTCGGCCGCGCTTCCTGCGCCCGCCGAGCCGGAGAGTGCTGCTGCCATCTAGCAGGCACGGGAATTGCTTCCCATCGACTTGGCCCCGCAGGCGGATGCCGAGGATTTTGGGGTCCTGAGGGATCATCCCGGCACCCGAAGTGACGTCTTTTCAGAAAGAGATGCCCGAGTTCGGGACGGAGAGAAGAGCTCTCAGCTCCGCTGCCAACAGGACATCCCACTCTGTTCCCAGCCGCTCCTCCACTGCCGTGCTGGGGTACACGGACCTCCACTATGGAAGACAGAGTCAGACCCAAATGCAGGAACTTGGGTGCGAACCAAACCCGCGGAGCGCGCGAGCGGTGCTGGCAGTGATGCATCGCCCACAAGCTAATTTATGTAAAATAAAGAGGGCTCATTTAGCACCTTTCCACCCTTAATGTAACACCCATACATCAGAGGTGGCCCCGGCCGCCTTGGCTATTAGTCACCTTGGCTAACGCGACTCCTGATGCCGGCAAGTGCGCACCCAGTGCATCCCTGCTCCCGGCCAAGGGCTGTTTCACCTGGATATCTCACACTGCCCTTAAAGCTGCTCCAGCTCCGGCTTCCCTGGAGAAGCCAGAGCCTGCGGAGAGCCCAAATCCCGCATTACAGAGAGTCTCAATTGCCTCGGAGCTGCCAGCAAAGCTCCGTGTGCTCTGCACAAACCGCCCGCGTGGCAAAGCAAATATAATAATATTTGCAGAAGAGCAGTAGAAATACAGATTTTTTTTTTTTTTTGGCATACTTTTTAATGGACTGCAATTAGCTTCCCCACCGCTGCGCGGGCTTTTCCGGAGCCGAGCATGTTTGACAACGGACGTGCTCCATTGGAAAGGCTGGGACACATGGACACACACCCGGGACGCTCTGTGAGCCTCCCGAAACCAAGTGCGCCGGGCACGTCCTCCCCTTGCAAAACCCCTTGCAACTCCGCCAAATAAAAAAAAAATACATATATATATATATATAAATAACTCGCCATGGCAAAGCCAAATATATTTTCCGCTTTTTTGGCGCGTGGGAGATGATGCAAATTGCCCGATCAATCTCGGGCCCCGTTGCGCGGCGCCTCGCGCGCTCTGCCAGGCGGGAGCACCGCCATCCATCTCCCGGGAACCAGGTATATCATTTCTAGTTAGCGAAAAGCCGGGCGCCCGGGCCCCTTTTTTTTTTTTTTTTTTTTTTAGCGTGTGTGTGTTGTTTGCCGTGTTTTCCATTCCGATGATTGAAGTGCTTTCGCGAGCAGGGGAGCGGGGCCGGCGCGCGAGCCCCCGGCGCGGCGCCGAGCCGCTTTTGCTGAGCTCGCCGTCCTCGCGCTCTTCCTCCCTGATGGAAAAAATCAACATTTATTTCGCCGGCGCCTAAGCAGGTGTCAGGGAAAAAGGCGTCCCCTCCGCGCGGTAGCGAAGGCTGGGGGGAAAATCTAATAGAAATATATTACCGGGGCCCCAGGAGCGGACGCGGCGGTAAATCACGCATCAGGTGGCACTGTTAGATTTTCCCATCAGACGAGGTTTGTCCTCGGATGTGGCTGCTCCGAGCATCTTCACCTGCGTCCCGACGGATGACAGGAGGGAGAGGTTGAAGGAGGGGGTGGGTTAGAGACCATGATCCGAGCAGGTGGTGACAAAAACAGCGGTCCTTGAGGGTCCAGCACCTTGTGCCCATGGGGTTGAAGACCTCCTACAGACTCCTCCAGCTGTTCCTGATTTACAGCAGTGACACAAATCAACCTCAAAGTCAACGTGAGTCCTTCCACTGCCAGCATCAGGGAAATCTGGGAGATGGGTTGGGAGGAGAAGCTTCGTGCAGCTGGGCGATCACTCAGGGTAGTCTTTCCTTCTGGTTACGATGGGTAAAATTGGGATGTGTCTTGGGAGAGTCCCCGATGCTGCTTGGGGATGGGTGGCCCAGGAGAGCTGCCACATTCCTGTGTCTTTCCTCATCAATCTCCTCTTTTAGGAGGAAGGGAACAACCAGCCAGCAGAAAAGCACCAAAATCCAATCCGCTGTGCTGCTGCCACCTCAAAAGAAAAACTTCTTTACTAGGAGAGTAGCAGAGAACTGCAAGAGGTTGCCCCAAGAAGTTTTGCAGTCTCTATCCTTGGAGATAGTCAAAATCCTCGGAGATAGACTAGGACAGCCTGGACCAGGTCCTGGACAACGTGGTCTAGGTCTTCCTTAGGCAGGGGTGTTGGAGCTGAGGTCCTTTCCACCTTTCCAATCTCAAACATTCTGCTATACTTGGAAAAATCAACACTGGATGCCTTGAACTTCCAAATCCTCCTTCTCCAAGGAGGACCTCCACGTAGGTTAGATGCTGCACAGTACAGCTGCCTCCTTCCTGCTCTACACTGCCTGTGCCAACAGCTCATTCAGAACCAGGAGCAGAGATTTGGTCCCCAGCAACTTGAAAAGATCAGGTGAACTATCAGATATTGTGAATTCCATATCTGCCATCCACGGGCGAACTGAAGTTCATCCCGAAGGAGCTTGGTGGGACATCTGAAAGGATCCTTCCACCTCCAACTGCCAAGGCACTAAATAATGCCAGGGGGAGGTGATGGGGCTCTATTATCTTCAGGAACCCTGGGCAGAGACCCAAAGGCCTGATCTCCATGAGAGGTTGAGGCCCTTAAAGATGGGCAGAAGATTAGTATGGAAGAAGTGAGTTGGCAGGTCTGAAATTTGCCTGCAAAATCGATATGGAAAGAGGATTGGAAACCTATGGACAGTTAGATCTGTGCAGAAAGTAAATCAGAAAGAGTATTTTCAAATGCTGCTCGTGGGACAAGAAATAATGATTCTGATTCAGATTGAGAGCTCAATTAGGAAAAGTAAGGACTCGTCACGTTTTACTGGAAATTCCAACTAAATTGGCCGCTCTGCTACACAGAGACTGAGATTGAAGTTTTTTACCTTGGGACCTCCTGAGAGGCATGAAGTCACCACAAGACTCAACATCTCCAACTCCAGCCCTCCATAAAACTCTGACCATTAGCACTGCCCTAAGCCTACTGTGCTGGTGTCACACCAAGCCACCTCACAGCTGCCACTGGGACACCAAAACCATCGTGATCCCATGTCCATGATCAAAACAAGGATGTCTGAAACCAGAATCCCCATAAAAGGGGATCAATCAAAACCTCCCCCATAGTGGGGATCACTATCAAACTGCCCCCCGAGTCTGTCCACATCTGCTGACACCGGAGGAGAAGCTGCAATCACTAACGATGAACGAATCCAGCACGTTGATGGGAAGCCAATTAGCCCGATTCACTAACGGATCGAGGAATGGGTGTCGCCTGCTACCTGCAATTCAATAGATCTTGCATTAGAAAAGCAATTATATGAGAGGTTTGTTAATTCAGTTATGAAAGAGACTTTGGATGCTCTTTAATTAAACCCTCTCTGCATGCCTGATGTAGCACGTATCAGATTAGAACCTGCAAGGGCCAGAGGAGACAACCCGTCAAGGTTGTGCCCAGGAGGAGAAGGGGACAGCAGAGATGGGGAGCAAGGCAAGGGGACCCACCATTGGGCACATCTCAACTCCTCCTGTCACTCTCCTACCTGCTTCTGAATGGACCCACCATTGGGCACATCTGCAGCCACATGTCCTTGCCCTCCCAACCACCACAGGCTGACAACAGGACAAACCTCATAGTTAAGGCTATGGACGAGTGTAAGTAGGAGGCTGGACTCGACAACACCCACAGGTCATTTCCACCATGAATTATCCTACGATGCAAGGGTTGAAATTGGGATGAAGTACTTCAGATGAGGCTCCTGATGGCCTCATGGCCAACCCTTTATCTCAGAGGCTTTGGAGCAAGTTGGACCCTTGTGCTTCTTTCTCCTCATCATCCCTTCTAGATAGGTGGCATCTCTACAGGGACCAAATATGTCCCAGATTTGGTGACCCACAGCTTGGAGCATGTTAGTGAGCGGAAGGTCCTGCCACGCAGTTTAGGAGTCTGACAATCACCAAAGAAGGCAGGACCTGAAGAGAAAACCTTCTGCCTCTGCAGGTGGCAGGGATGAAGGAGCAGCCCACACGGGCTAACTGGGGGAGGTTCCATCTGCCACCGTTTATGGCAACATCTCCCCAGGGCCAAGGAGCAGCAAGAGCCTCACTAGCTCCAGTGCAATCCTGGAAATGAAGTGGAAGCTGTTTGGGCACCGCGTGATCCAGAAGCACCTACAGGGATGAAGAGGCCCAATCCCTGGCAATGGATCAGATCTGTGTCATGTCGAAGTCGATGACAAAAACCACGTCATGGTTTATCCTCTCCTTTCTCCTTTTACGAGCCTCAGCAACATCTGCTCGAGCAGATCCTCATGGTGAAGGCCCACGGGGCAGCAGCTTGCTCTGCTGCAACACCTCCGTGGTGGCGGCGAGCAGATGGCACGGGGCATGCAACAGTGTCACCTCCTCCTGGTGCCTCATTTCACACACAGAATCATGGAGTCACAGAATGGTTGAGTTTGGAAGGGACCACTAGAGATCATCTAGTCCAACTGCCCACGCAAGCAGGGACACTCAGAGCATTGGGCACAGGGTCACCAGGAGGCTGAAGCAGACACAGACCTGGAGTTGCTGTTGAGTGGTCACTCACTGCCCAAACGAGAGCTGCTATTGCCCCCAAACACAGAGATCAGACATTTAGCAGCTACTGTCACAGGTGAAGGCCATCTCCTGACTCTTGTTTCTTGTCCCACCGCACCCCATGTCACAGGCACTCCAGCAACCACACTATGAAGCTCCTGTGGATTGGGAGAGTATGAGAAATGGGGAAACCGAGGCACGTGCAACTCAAACACTATGACCCTTCTAAAAACCCTGTTTCTGCATAAATGCTTCAGCTGCTGCTGTCACCTGCCATGGCCAAATTCACTGTGACCAAAGACCTGCACATTGATGTGCTACACTGCACTGCAAGGGGAGGCTGAGGAAACTTCTGAGGACCATGAGCAGCCTTGCTATCTAGAAAGCAAAAGTGGAGATGATCCAGGGAAAGCAGTTTTTGGCCCATCACTCCCCTACTCTTCCCAGTTAAGTGGGTGATCAAGCTGGGCAGGTTGCAGTGGATCCATGGTGTCACAAGCCACCTCACTGCCTTTATTAGACACTCTCCCTGGACTGGCCTCACAACTCACTGAGTTTCTTGTCCTTCTGAGTGACCAGGGGACTTGGAGCAGGCAGGGGTATAGGAAAGAGCAAATTATTGTCACCCTTGGGGTGATGCACCAAAGATCTTCAAACAGGTTCCTCATAAGTTGCAAAGCCTTCTCCAAGCTTCTCCAACATCTGGGTCAGACTTTGGGGAAGACAGGTCCACTCCAGCAACAAGTTCTCCAACAGATCACGACAATGTTGCCCATAACACCCTCACCAGCTGCGGAAGAGATCACCCATGCTGCAGGAGCAGGCACCCTTCCTGCTCAGAAAGGGAGTGCTGGCAATGATGACCTAGATAGAAGAAGTCTAGAGGAAGGATGTACAGAGGAGGAGGAGCAGGAAGGCTACATGGGCCAAAAGAGCATCCCTTAACCAGGCTGTAGGAGACTAAGAGCCCATGCAGGTCAGCCCATCCAAAGAATAGGTGACATAGGTGAACACTTCCAAAACAGAGGTGATGAAGGTGGACCAGCCACAGGAGCAGCCACTGCCTCATGATGCCATCTTGGCCAATATTTTTTCCAAAAAAAGACAGCAGCCTCCCACAACAAGGACCAAGGCCTCTGCTTCCCATTAGTCATGACCTGGACTCTCAAGGAAGTTCCAGGTGTCTCAGTTAACTCCACAGAGTAGCTAGGAAGGAGGAGATAGACCTCATTTGCTTGATCAAAGAAGAGAAGGGGACTAATGGAGGACTTCTTCAACTATCCGTCTTCCCTTATCTTCAGCTCACCGCTGCCTTCAGACACTTAAAGAGCAGGTGGAGATGCCCTTACCCATGGAGATGCACAAGAACTGATGAAGCAATAAAAGACACTACATAAAGAGCTGTTCCCATGGATAAATAGGAGACTTCTGAAGAAGTCCTAGAGATAAGTACTAAAGCCTGTACCACATGTCTCATCAGAAGTGCTTTTTGGGATTGAACTGATTTGTTAATACTGAACAAATATTGGTCTCTATACAATGCAAACTTTGGTGTCCAGTCTGAGGCTGCACAGTACAAGAAAGACATAAAACATATGCCTATGTTTTACCTCTTAGACAACGTTTCCTCCTAGGCCCTACTGCCAGGAGAAAAACTAACAACTCGGTCACAGCGGCGCTGATGTTCCAACACATTACTGCATTCCTCCTGCTCAACAAGGTTACCATGCACCAGTTGAGCTGCAGCGACTGTCCACGTGGGCACTCTCAGATTGCAACGCAGCAAGAGCGTTAATGTAGCTCCTTTTTTTGCCATTAGCTAAGGACCAACACACGGTTCCTTTCCAAAGTCCATTAGATGGTGGCCATCATGATTCCAGGACAACCTGACCCTTGATCATCCACCCAGGTGGATGCTCTCCGCATCTTCAAGGCTTCTTCTGCCAATGGCTTACACCAACCAAGGGGGTTAATTTTCACCTGCCTCCCCTGGTTGCCAAGATGGCTTTGAAGAGAAGAGCCAGTGGGAGGAGAAGTGTTAAATGGGACACTAGAGGTGGTGGAGGGCCTGTGGGACCTTCTGCACTGCAGCCACGAAGGGGGTTTGCGCGGGGAGACCAGCTGCAGACACATGTGGGGTTTGGAGTATGGGCTTTGCGTTAAATAAATGACATCTGCTCTCTAATTCTGGCAGCTGAGGAAGAAAGAAGGAGAAACCGCAGGGAAAGCACCGGCCTAGAACGATAGCGGAGGCATCCCAAGAAGATGCTACCACCTCAAACACGCTCCGATGCTGGAGCTGGAGGTGTCGGGTGAAAAGACCAAAAGAGGCTGCATGTCCAGCATGTCTAGGACACCGCTGAAGAGCAGCTGCATCTCCTGCATCGTCCACTGGGCTCCGCGCTGCCTGACGTGACGCAGGAATGATTTAACCCTTGACAACGCGAGCGCGTTGGCCCCGGGTTCGGGCGGGCGAGGGGGATTCGCGCTCTCCGAGTTATTCCTCCAGAAGTGAGAGCTGTAAACAACACCAGAAGCGCTGCCCCTCGATGAATTCCTCCAAAGCAAAAGCGCTTGAGCGTGCTCAGCGGAGCCGTTAAAAAAGACTGTAGCGAGCATCTTCCATTAACGTTACGACCGTGAAATATGACAATAAAATGATAGCCGTATGGTCGCAAATTTGCAGCCCGCCGAGTTGCTAGGGGTTTATCGTCACTCAAACGTGCAGAGAGCTGTAAAATGTTTACAGAAAGGGTCGTTTGCAGCTATAAAATCCTCTTTTCTCTCCTAAACAAGGCTGAGTGGAGCCATTTACAAACCCCTGAATGTTCATCGGGGGAGAGGGGAACATCTGTTCTCTCCAGGAGTTTTCAGTGATCTTCTCGAACAAATTAACTAAAATGGGTGCTTTCTAATTAAATTAGCACTCGATTGGAATGGTTTGCATTGGTGCGCTTGCTTACAATTAGCGCGGGGAGGCCAGTTAGGCGCCGGCTCAGGCTATTTAACTGGAAGGTGAAATATGGAAAATCACATTACCTGGAAGTGCTCACTGGAGGGCAGAGGAGCTGGGTGCTCCCTCTGGCTCTGCCCTTCAGCGGCGCTCGTGGAATGAGGGCCAAGGGTTTCGAGGCCCATCTGGTGGCACGGAGCTGTTGGGAAGCCCCTTGTAATGGTCAGATGCTGTTGATCCAAGCGCAGGTTAATTGGGATTAATCCACTTGGAGGTAGGAAATGTGTGAGATGGATGCAATGCTCAAGAGGGACCAACATTTTGGTGCTGTAGCAAAGACTCCAGCCCCAAAAGGCTGTGGGGAGAAAGGGCATCAAGGTTGCTGCAAGCAAGGGAGGAAGATGTGGGCATGGACATGGACCTCTGGTACCCAGCACAGTCCATCCTGGAGTGTCCCTGGAGCTTGGCAGCTATTGTGGATGATGAATTCAGAACAGGAATGTGATGGGCCCTAAAAAGATGGGCTGAGTGAGGCTGAGCCTTTAAAACAAGTAGTCATTGTTCTGGAGCCAGAAGAGATCTTTCAGATGATCCATACCTGAATCCAGGTCCCTCAAAGATAAGTAACTCTAGGGTCTCAGCCTGATTCTAGTGCAGGACGAGCCCTCCCATTCCCAAAGCCCAGGCACAAGACGGGGACAGCAGTGACAATACTCATTACAGATCCTGCAAACTGGTCCCTCAGGATCTGGTTGGACCTACTGGTCCTTCCAGCCATGAGAAGCCCCTTGGGCTGTAAGGGGCTCCAGGGAAAGCCTCTCCATTGACTCCCAGTGACAGGGTGCCACCAGCGGCCCATGGAGCCGATGGCTCTCCTAGGACAGGACATTTTTCTCTCATGAGGTATGAGGAAACTACAGCTCTTGTCTGTCATGGTTCCTTCCACACTGCAAGGAAATGTTGCAAAAAATAATTTCTTTGCAGTTGCTTCAACACTTTCCTTCACCTCCTTTTTTTTTTCACAAACAGTTCAATTGACCAATTTGCTCAAAACGCCTCTGAAAATTAAAGCAACACCAGGGCAGAAGCTGCTTGCTCAATCCTGTCAGATGCCACGTAACTGTCTGGCTCATCCTAAAGTTGCACCTTGCAAAAAATTGCACCAATTTCCAAAGCTTCTTGCCCTTCCTGCTAACGAAGCAGCAAAGACGATTAGCTAAAACTAATATGGGCTTTTTCACATCAGAAAACAGGTGCAACGGGTGATTTGGGGATGGATGGTGAAGAAGACCATCCTGGTAGGCTCTGGAAGGAAATGAGTGACCGTGTCCTACCTGGCTCCTCGATGGGCTCGTCGTCATTGCCCGCTTCAGCTCTGTGCACCCCGTCCCCAGGGGAGGAGGGCGACTGCAGTGAGATGAAGGATGGCAGCTTGGGGAGCCCACTGCTCCGTGATGGGTCCACGTCGTGCCGAAGCGTCACCTCGCACTCCTCGCCGGAGGGTCCTGGCCTTGCCCTGTCCTCGTGGAACTGCGTGGCAGTGTTTCTGGAGGGGACACATGTAAAAAATAATAAAAAAACACACAAGTTAACCCTCTTGGTGAAGCTGAGTATGTGTATTGAGAGAGGCCAGGGTGAACAGATGGAGTTGCATAAGGAAGTTCTCTGCTTTCCATTCTGGGCTGCCTCATCCCCAATTTCCAAGGAACTCGATCAAATTCATTCTCTTTGCCCTGTGTTTCCCCACAAAAAGCCATTTTGAACTGCCAGATGCCTCCCAAAGTCTTGGTTCTCTGTGGGGATGAGGAAGGCCAACGTCTCGATCAGCCTACAAGGCTCCGTCTCCAGCACCCAAGAACTTTATTTTTGTCCAAGAGATGCTCTAGCTAGTGCCTTGCTGAGGAAAACACTTCCGATGGGAACTACCCTCCTTGCTGTGAACATAACAGCACTGGAACAGATCGTTGAGAGAGCTGGTAGAGTCTCCATCCTTGCAGATGGTCATAATCTAACTAGACATGAACCTGGACAACGTGCTCTAGGTGACTCTGCATGAGCAGAAAGGTTGGACTAGATGACCTCAAAGATCAGTTACAACCTCAACTATTCTCTGACTCTGTGAGAAGAAACCACCACCCAGTAACAGTAGTGGGATCACGGCCAAACAAAGGGAAACGTTGTGTTTGGGATGGTTCCTGCTTGACCTGGCCAAGAAAGAGATCCAAGGCAAAGATGTCCAACACCAGCAGCTCTCTTTTCACATCTGTTCCCGTCTCATCTTATTCTACAAGACTTCCAGTGTATATCAGAAGGCTGGTGGTGATGACACTCTGCCAACGAGCTCCCCCTCACTGCCACCACCCTGTGCCAAGGGTCAAGGGCATGACCAACTCATAGGGTGCTGAGCTGCAAGGCCAGAGCAAGGTGGGAGACAGCAGAGGTGCCAGGAGAAGAGCAAACCGTGTGTCCTACCTGCCTGTTTCTCCGCCGAGCCGCCGCCACTTGGACGGCGGGTGGCCGTGGTCGGCGTCGCCGGCAGCGCTGGGCTGGCGAGGGCGCCGCTTCTGCTGTGGGTGCCGCAGCTTGCACTGGGCGCCCCTGGGGCAGACGCCCTTCTTGGCGAAATCCGGGCAAACCAGCGTGTGCTTCTTCTTGCACTGCAAGGGAAGAGGAGAGCAAGGTGGGGAAAGACGGTCGCAGAGGGCATAAGGAGCTGATGGCGCTTCCTTCTCCCACTGTCTTCCTCACCATCGCTCTTCCTCTCTGCTGTGAGAGCTTCACCTCCAAGTGCTGGACCCAAAAGGATAAATATCTTAACAGCAATGATCTGCCCAAAGGTGGCAGTGCTGGGATGTCCGGAGGAGGCTAAGCAGGATGGAGAAGATGCTGACAGGATGGTCATGGGACAACTAATGTTGTCCAGGCTCTGTTTCTGACCTCTCCCTGCACCAGGTGCTCTCAGGCCTTGAGGAAGAGCGGGGAAAAGCAGGAAGAGCAGGAATTGCCGGGCCCTGCGCTTCGGCACCGAGGGTGGGAGAGCCGCCGCGGGGGTTATTTATGGGAGGGATGGATGGAGACAAGGGGAAGAGGGGGGATCAGATTCCTGCAAAGGTGCCCAGCGCACGCAGCAGGGCCGAGGAAGCAGCGCGCGGACACGCGGGGAGCGCCCTCCTTGCCGGGATCATCCGATCCCTTCCACCTGTCAGCATGGCTAATTTTATCCTCCCTCCTCGCTTCTCTCTTGCTGCAGGTTGCACCATAAAAAGAGAAGCGGCATCTGGGTCTGGGGCAGAGGCCAGGAAACCGGCAGGTCCCCCAGACGAAAAAGCCGCCGTCGAGGAGGGAGAACCCACTGTCACCGCTGCACCCGGTGTGGGTGCTGCCAGCTACGTCGGGAATGGGATCATCCTGTGAGATCAGCTTGTCCTGGATCCATATGGACCTTCCCTGCTGGGATTGAAGGTGCTGCCATCCCCAAAGGATGGTGCTGCCGTCCCAAAGGGAGCAGCGATTCAGCAGCGAGCGGAGCAGGGGTGGCGCAAGGACGTGGGGATTGGCACCGTGCAACCTCCCTTGGCACTGTGTAGGCAACAGGCGGCCGGGCGGCTGCCCGGTGCCAGCTCGGGTCGTCCCGGCTCGGCCTGGGCACCGGCTGCCACGACCGTCTTCCATGAGCGTCCTTGGCACGAGGAGCGGCGTCGGGAAGGCCGAGCTGGGTTACTGGGACGGCCGGAGCCGGCGGCTGACCTTCCGTGGGGAGCCCGCGGCGGGCTGCCAGCAGATGCCGGTGGCCTCCCTGCGGACGGCAGGGAGAAGACACATTCCTGCTGCCCAGCAACGGGAGCAGCACCGAAAAGGGCTGCCTTTTAACAAGCATGGCTCGAATTGGGACATTTCCACCCACCCATGTTTTTGGGTTAGGTCTTCAGGAATAGTTACAGGCAAAGAAAAGCCAGCCAAGGTTGACTCTGCCATGCAGACTCCCACTGTGGTCTTCTCCACCCAAACCATCTCCACCAGCAGAACTTCTAATGAAGATCAAGGGTTTCCTGAACCCACTGCTCAGCTCCTCAGCTTGCAGATGGAAGTAGCCTTAAAACTTGAGGTCCCCTGTGGTTAAAACCTGGAAGATGACGTGGCTCTGTCAGAGCACCCTGCTAGCTGCCCCTCTGACCCAACATCCCCCACCCACGTTACCTCAGCAGCAGCCCGAGTGGTGAAAAGTGAAGCAGCCCCTTGCTTGGGCTGCAGCCATCAGGTTAGTGACCCCAAAAAAGGACACGGGAGGCTAATGTCAACCCCTGCCCCATGTGACACTGAGAGCCCCTGCTAAGAGCTTATCTCCAAAACAGCTTTCTGCCTCAAAGCAGAGTCCATGAGAGCTTGCACAGAAGCAACGGATTCCTGCAGATGGAGACTGACAGCGACTGACTCTCCAAAAGAGACCAGGAACAACTTGGCCCATGGTGATTTCAGCAGGAAAAACTTTTGTCACAATAAAGGACACGGTAAGTAGGGCCAAGCGGCACAACCCAAGTTACGCTCTTCCTCCCCGCTCGTTTTGATGGCCTCATCCCAAAGTTGTCTAGGATCTGGGGGGAGATTGAAAGCAGCCAGTGATGCAGCAGGTCTCAGAGCTCAGCTGAAGCATCTCAACACTGCCACAACACAAGTGTCACTACAGGTGCATGCCGCAAACATCAGGAGAGGCAGGACATGAAGAGCTTCACAGAAGCAAACATGACCCAACACCAAGCTGCTGAGCTCTCCATCAATGATTGCAGAAGATAAAACAGCACTCAAGCTGTCAACATCGGAGCTGGAATGAGAACTGGACAGTATTTTAAAAATACTGTTTACAGTATTTTTAGTGTTTTAAAAACTAAGTGTTTTAAAATTACAGTGTTTTAAAAATTAAGAAGCACCTAGTACAGCTGGCATATCTCAGGTCACCTTCATAGGACTGAAGGACATCTCCTGCAAAGGGACTGGGCCTTTTACCTGCAGGGTAGGCCTGCCTGCTTTGATCCAGCCCAAGCATCAATGACCTAAAGGATGGAGCTTTCTCTTGCCTGTCCTGCCGATGGCTCCTGCTACGTCGTTTCTTCTAATCTTGCTCCTCCTTGGTTCGGATCTGCCATTTTGCTGACTCTCAGATGGTATTTTTGCTAACGGAGCATCTGCAGGGCACATTGTCCTACAGCATCTCCTGTCTGCAGAACGCCCTGTACCGCTTGGCGCGGGGCATCGAGTTGCTGTGATCGATCGCCCGTGGCTTTTCCTGCTCCTCTGCTCTGCAATTTCTGCAGCTTCGCCTTCGCTTTCAGAAGAAGGGTCCTATTACCAGCCAGATCCTTTATTCTGCCAAGGCCCAAACGTGAAATGCAATGATGAAGATCGCCCCTAAACACGGAGAAAATTAACTCACATGAAAGCTATGAAATTCTCTTCTTGCAGTGGCCAACGATGATGTTATGGTTCTCATCAATGTCGGGCAACAGATATGGACCCACTGAAAAAGTTGGCAGGAAGTGGCGATCATTGGGGCAAAACAACACGGTATCTGTTAGAAGGAAGTGGACACCTGAGCTCTCTGCTTCAAAGCCAATGTCTTTTTTTGGAAAGAGCGAAGGAAAAGCTCAAAATCTGCATAAAATTGAAAACTAGCTGCTCGGTGACACAGGGACTTAGTAACATCACGGGCAGGGTGATAACAGTGCTTGATAAACTGCCCAGGTAGAACTATCACAGCCTGGAGGAAAAGGCCCTTATTAAATTCTTCCATAATTGGAATTTTCCATGGATGAAAATGATGTTAGAGAGTTAGACATTTCACTTCCACAATGCGGGCAAATACAACACCTCCAGACCTCACCAAAAGCACCACAGTTGAATATTTCCAATTATTTTTGGGTCTAATTACATCTTCTTGTTTGAAAATTGCCTCTTGACTGCTTGTATTGCTCCCTCCCAATTCTCTGCAGACTTGGAAGAGCTCTGCCTGCCGTCATGGTGACCAGAGGTTGGCCCTTTTCTGGCTTGGTTTCCATCTGTGCCCCGTATCAAGCTGGAGGACAGTCACACAACTCTGTAAGACTCCCCAACACTAGATGTCAAAACACAAAATAAGAGGAATGAACCAAGATGAGATGACCAAGAAGAGTTGGCCATCATCAGCAAGGCCCAAAACACCCTGGTGATTTGAGACTCTGTAAGGGCAGAGATAAGGACTTAAGGAGGAAAGTGAGTCACCAGCTGAAGAACCAGCACCAAGGACTGGTATCGGGAACGTCTACAGCACCAATTAACCATCTCCTGCACTACTTCAATGCATGGTGCTTGGGGAGACCATTTCCAATCTCACAGTCTCCTCCATCTCACTTCAAAAACGTGATGGAGGCAGTTTCCCATGAGGAAGCCATTGATGGGGTTCCTCACAACCCCACGACCACATCCCACAACCTAGGATGGAGCCAGGCAAGTCAGAGAGACACCACAGCATCCTGCTTACAGGCTCGTGTTCATCAGAGATGACAGGGGATCTGTCAGATACATTATTCCAGGTCACTCAGGGAAGCTGCTGACCCAGAATGCCAGAGATCAGGAAGACAACATGTGGCCCGTGGTCTCCAGAGTGCACAAAGAGCTCATCAGCCAACAGAGAACAAATGGGAAAAGAGGTAAATTCCAGAATGGGAAGCAAAGATGTAATCTGGTCTTATTTGTGGCTGTCTCTACAGAAGTTAGAGCTGCAATCATGGACTCTCTGCCTCCTCAGTATATTCCCAGTTATTAGCTGTGATTCAGAGACTACTTTTACTCTGGACTTCTTAATTTTCATGTTTTGTGATGCACTTTCCCCTCCAAAGATATTAAAGCACCAGAGAGAAAATCACAGACCTGTATTTATCTAAGTGCTATTATCAACTAGCCCAGGCTATTAAGTAGTTCAAGTTTGCCCTGATAAGCAACATCTCTAACGTAAGCATCTGAACATTGCTGAAGATACTACTGTTAAATTAAAGGAGCAATGAGAACCCTCATTATGCCATTACAGCGTTCGGTAAATAAGATGCAACTGGAAACCCACGAAGATTTCGGTGCAGATACAGGGAGAGGATGGGGCAGAGGGGAAACCTGATTAGTTTTAAACCTCTTCTGCAGTTTACAAAGCATTTTAAGTGGAAAGCTCCCATCAGCAACACGGAGATTTATCACTTGCTATCAGGAACACAGCTTTTGCTGCTGTTTTAATTCCAGTTGAGTATCAAACCAGGGCACAGGGTAAAGGGATTGACCCCTTGCCAAGATCAGCGAGCTGGAGTTGTGCAAGTCAACGCTCTCCTGCAAGGAGGTACCAACGTAGCCCAATACTGAGCCAGGAAAACTCCTCTGCTTCCTTCCCAGTGTATCTCTGCTCCCAGCAGTAAATCCTTCTCTCTGTAGACTACGGGAAAGACAGTACAGCTTAAATTGCAGAATATCATAGTCACGACTCCCCAGTTCTTCTCGGTGCAAGCAGAACTCTGACTTTTAAATCTATTTTACCAGTAAAGTCCGTTTGGTTCCTTGCTCCTGCTGGCACTAGGTATCAAATGCATTAGTGGATCCAGGTCTGTTTGCTGGATCCCAAACCACAGTCTTACCCTATGTTTGC